CCCATGATGAGTAAACTATGCGCATAGAGATTATGGGCATTGGGTGTTCCCACATTACTGTCGTGGAATTGGACGATCAGAGCTTTTGCTCTGAGCAGCCTCGAAGCATCGCTCGAGATTTCCATTGCGCTTAGACCCTCAACTTGAAATTTACGGACAGGATTGTTTTTTAATTATGCAGTGATTGGCAATGATATATGTTTACCCCATAGTGCTCCCCATCAGTTTTAGTACATTTTAGTGATGTATGGATATTTCATGGTACTTTGGTATAGAAAAGTCCCATAATCATAATCCCATCTTTCATGGCGCAGGAGGGTCAGCCTCCAGAGTGGATAGCAAGGTGAGAACCTTAAGGTACCACTTTGGGATGCTAATGGAAAATCCCATCTAGAAACGGAGAACTGGGGGTACCCCCAGGTTTCCGACCTGGAAACCTCCATGAATATCAAATGTTCAATAGGTCAAAATCTGTAAAACTCTCCATAATTTTTGGGAGATGATTGAGATGATGGGACAACCGTTTGGGGAACCCATATTTTGAGACCCCCCCCATGTGGTATAGATGATTTACCGTGATTTACCCTCTGTCATCAAACGTGGCTAGCTGTAAAATCCTCTATAAAGGAGGTTTACAGCTGGGAGAATCAACTAGAAGTGGGGGACGTCCAATTGCTGTGTTAGATTAATTACCAGAGGGTAAGATTGATGAACCTAGATCCTGATAGTTCGTGATTGTCAAACACTGTAAAAACTTCCAGAATGTTCCATATATTGAAGTGTAATCAATTATATGGATGCTGTTCTTAACTGTTCACATATGGAAATTACATGAAACTACAGTATATGAACTATGATCCATTGTAATTTGATGTACAATGATGATGGAGATACACTGAAATGGTTATTACATGTTATTATTACATGTTATTACTACATGTTATTACATCATGGTATTTCAGTATTAACATGTTCTTACATATGATTATCAGCAGTATATTTGATATACAATGATGGTTATTACTATCATTACTGATATGATGTATTACAACGTTGTAAATTACATGGAAATCCATGATGGATTCCATGGATTCCATATGTCTTGACGTTTCCAGCCCGAGGCTCAAAGTGGTCCCAGCACCGCCCAGTGGGGGCCCCACAGATCCATAGAACTGGGATGTGTATCATTCTATAGGAATAATCTTAGATCTTAGATGGCTTATGATAGCTGATCATGAATCTTGAATATCTTTATAACAATGATTATATCTGAGAATATCTTCTCTGTTGTACCCAAGTAATCTTGGATCCTAACATATGAATAAGATCTGCATAATTATATTTTGTACCCAAGATGAACATCTTATATCTTTAGGATACATTTATAAGATTTAGGATTTAAATCCAAACGTTTTTTTTTTTTTTTTTTTCGGGTTCAACATGCACCCAGGCTCATCGCCACCAACCATGGCCCCAGCGCCCCGTGACGGAGGCAGAGAAGGCGATTATATACCTGGTTACCAAACGTTAATATTGGTTGGTAATGGAGAATAAAGCTAAATTATGCGGAACAATGGGTTGATGATGGCCGGTCATGTTTAAAAATGGACGGTAAAAGGGTGAAGCAACAGAGAATGATTGGTAATCAGGTAATGAATCACCATGTCTAGAACTGGATACTGGGGTGTGCTATGGCGTGCTGTGTGCTCCCAAGTTTTAATCCAAATTGCCACTGCTACTGTTTCAGTGTTTATCCACACATGGTTGGATTTTGGGCTACCCGATTTTGGATGGTCTGGATGTATGGGCATAGACATGATATCATATAGGTATGGGCACTACCCTCTGGTAAACTAACATAGCTATTGAAAATGGCCATTTATAGTGCAGATTTACCCATTAAAAATGGTGATTTTCCATGGTTATGTTTGTTTACCAGAGGGTAACTGCACTAACTGCACTAATCATGGCTGCAGGAGAACAGAATCTATCTCGCAGGGCGCTTATGTCTGTGCTGAGTTTGTGGGGGGATGCAGAGTTTTTTCAGATGCCAAGGAGATATTATTCATTTATTCACTAAATAATGTTAGTTTTTTTTATCGTTTGCCACACAATCCCCATATTTGAAGCTGTACAACATACCCTACAACGATTGGAGTGAAATGGATCAGGCAGGCAAAGGATGGCTCCTCAACCTAATAACTAGCAATCGGATTGTCTCGAAAACGGAAGAAGCGCTGGGGCAGGCTGTTCACTGCAAAGAATGGCTGGAAACATGGACGTCCAAAAATGGTACAGTAGCCTCTAAAAAAATTATGAAATCCCGTGGTTTATCATCTTTGTGGTTTGCCTATTGTCGAAAGAAGCCTAGAGTCTGGTTCTGCCGAGCTTCAATGCCTTGCAAGAGACGAGCCAGTGCTGAACATGGGTCTGAAAGTGGATACCCCGAAAAAAATTGGACTTTCACAGGAAACATGATGATAAACATTAAATTTTTGGGATTACCCTCGTTTTCAGGAAAACCCGCAGCTGGAAGTTCTCTTCAGTTTTTTAAGCTCTGAAGAAGTTGTGTCATGATGTGTCATGCAACCAACACAGTTACTACAGGTTACATGCTGCTGGGTTGTTTTCCATGATAACATCCCACAAATATCCACAAAGAATATCTTCGATCGGATGGAAAGGCTGTGCCAAACCGAGGTGCGCGCTGCAGGGTGGTAGCTGTGATGAAACGATCGCTCGGGACTTGTTGCTACGGCCAGCTTGCCACATATCACCGTTCCCAGATCGGTCTTTCGCACCAATGGGAGCGTATGGGAACCTCCAAAATCAGATAGCCAAGGGGGTTGGGTCATTTCTCCCTGCATTAGGAACGGTTCTTGCGAGTCAAGCTTCCCAGGGGCTTTGAATGAAGCCTCATCTAGATGCAGGTCCAAGAGCCATCGTTGAGGGATTTGGTGTACAGAACAGGTCTTTTGCTTGCGAAATCGTCTTCCAAGAATGCCGCGAGACGACAGTTTTGGGGAAAAATCTATAGCCTTTGGCCATGCAAATCCTTGCATTCCAGATCATTCCAGCATTGGATTTTGTTATCATTCGGTCTATTGAATCTATTGCTTTCCTGAGGCCTCAAAATGTGGGAGAAATTGTTGCCATGGCAAGAGATATCGAAGGTGCAATGCCTGTTGCTCTGATTTGTTGGCACGGAAGATGGTTTTTTCATGGTTTTTCTCCGGCCTATTGGAGATGATTGTTGATGAATGCTACCAAGATATCAGTGATATCAGGGTTGAAACAAGCACACATCGTGTTTCCAGTTGAACTCATGGACGTCCGCAAAATGTTGCAGTTGCAACGGCCTGAGCCTGGTTTGAAACTTGAGCTCTGATTGAAGGCTACTTATTTGAGGTCTGCACACAAAGCAACATGTTTTTAAAACTTACATTTGCAGCAGTGGAAACTGAATGAAACTGACATCCGGCATCCAGATCCATTTAGATCCACATTAGTCTGTAAGTGTTTGATAAGCCTGGTCAGCAACTATCCAAACTGCGGTTGCATGTCCCCTTTGACCAAAGGTTTTCTTGTGTGATCCAACAAAAGTTAGTAGCTGGTCACTGGCTTGTACACCTGTATGATTGCAAGGCTATGTTCAACCAGTATCCCAGTTACCATGAATTTTGGAACTTTGGGCACCAATCAAATCTCATTTATAATATTTATACCTATAGGTGAAATGATAATTAATGATAAAATCTCATTTATATATGTAATATAATAATAATGATAATAATAATAATACTTGTACCTATGGATTATTTTCCCAGTGAGATGCCATACTTTCTCGGCTTCCAATCGGCCGTCGCAGGCGGCGCGCCTCTCAAGGTGCTGGATCTACCTGGGATGATGCTTGACCCCATGTGGTAAGCGGTCAACCAAAGTTATGCCCACAGAAAAATCATGGGACTTACCAGCCTTGTGAAGCATTTCGTAGGTATATATATATATATATATCCCATGAAATATCCCATAAAATCCCAAATATATACCATATTGTAACCTCATTCAACCACAATTTTGGATGGTCAAATCACGAGTTTTTGTTGGTTTTTCATGCATCCCTGGTGAAATCCTGCTCCACCAGGCGCAGCCTCGGGACCGTCGCTTGCCAGCCCTCTGGCTGTTGCATCCGGAGATCTCCCAGGGGGTGGCGAGCGTGCCCGGAAACTCGGGCATTGGAAAAAACGTGGGGTGATTCTAAGGTGGGGATATCCTTGATGGATATCCTTGATGTTGACAACTGACACTGGAGATTATATGTATGTATGTATATTATCTGGGTAAATTATAACGACCTCACTGCGACCTCACTGGAATCATGGTTAGTAAGGGGAATCATCCCCAAATGGCCTTATTTCAGGTTAGTGAATTACTATAATTTACCCAGATACTATATATTGGTTTTGATATATGTTTTAATCATTGAGAAAAATTAGGAATATGACATGCATGATGTTATAATTAGTTGATAAATGATGGTTGATTAAATGGATTTGTTTAAACGTGGGGGATACTCCCTCAAATTCCATTGTATCCCATTGTCTAGCATCAATTTGTATCTAAAATCGTCATAAACAGAGGTAGCCTATTTTCAGACGAACCCAACTCTGGCTTTCACTTCAATCGAACTTTAACTTCAAACTGATCTTCACAGATCCATCGAGTATTTCAATCTTCCCTAGTGAAAGTTCATGGATTAGATCCATTATATCCTAGTGATTCCTAGTGATATTCTCAACATCTTATCCTCTGGTAAACTAACAGTTTGCTATGGAAAATCACCATGTTTCATGGGAAAATCCACTATTTCTATGGCCATTTTCAATAGCAAACTGTTAGTCATTACCAGAGGGTATCTTGATCTTCCAAATGTTGAGATGGCCATTTAGAGGGTATACCCCGGCACTTGAGATTCGTGGGCGCCGAGGCAATCGGAGCTC